GGGGTCGGGTGGGTAGGGTGGTCCCGTCCCGTCTCTTGAGCATTAATCCTATGAATGTTGGTTCCAATCCCGGTCATGTTTGTAGGTTTGTCAGCACCATACATATATGATTACACAATGCCATTTTAGAAAATGGTCAAATGTAACAGATGTTATATTGGGATTACACTTTCTTAGTAAAGTACAAAATCTAGTACTGTTTTGAGGTTGAGTCCCATCCGGGACTGAGGGTGTGGGTTGGAAACCAACCAAAATAAGTGTTACCATACATATACCTCTTAGTTTGACCAAAATCATATATCTTTGAGATCGGTATCACTGCGAGCTCCTGCCATCCGTCCACTGCCACCGAAAATGATAAGCTAATCCACCGTGATATAACTATACTGTTCATAGCTGCGTTCGGGGCAGTGGGTAGCCTAATGGTTAAAGCGTTCGCTCGTCACGTTGAAGACCTGGTTTTGAGTCCCCAAAATGTGTGAAGCTCATTTCTGGTGTCCCCCGTCTTGATATTGCTGGAATATTGCTAAAAGCGGCTTAAAACCCAACTCACTCAGTCACTCAAAACTGCGTTAAAGCACTAGCTCAGTGCCAGCTTTATAAGACATCACGTGGGTGTAAAGTAATACAACGCACATAGTGACGTACTTACAGGGTTCTGACCATTGGTCACACATCAGAAGCCCTGAAAAAGACAACGAAGAATAGCTAGTTGTAGGCTAACAGTCTCCACAGAACAATCGTTAGTGGAAACTGCCCGACGAAACTGTTTCCTTATGCAGAATAAGTTTAGACACACAAAGTACATGTTTCCCAACACCAATCGATGTATCTTAGATGACGAACTGGGAGCATTCTAAGGCAATCATTTAACTATATTTGCACTAAAGTTATTAAAGATGGGTATTTATTGACAATTCTGAAAATCTATACTTCAATTGTTTTGATACTTCTTTTGATGCTTTGTACAATCTATATGGTGACTTGACATCCATCGTGTATAGATCTGCCCTGTCTGGTAGCGTTATTCTGCTATTAGGTATGTATCTGTAGAGTGAGTGCTTCAATGAATATTGTTTTAAGCCGCCGAGACGGATATATTATACTATGTTCCCTACTAACATGCTTGTAACGAATAGGACCGCCTCCGTGGTGTAGTGGTTAGAGCGTCCGCCCGGAGAGCGGAAGGTCGCGGGTTCGATCCCCGACCGCGTCATACCAAAAGACGTTCAAATATGGTACTTGTTGGTCCCTGCCTGGCGCTCGGCATTAATGGATACAACAAGGACTGGTCGGCTCGGAGTCAGTATAATGTGTCTGAGTGGGGTATTCATGCTTCACTGCGGCATGGTATCTCAGTGGGCTAGCACTATAAAACCAGCTTAAGTCTGGGCTAGTACAAGCAGCCGCACATACACATACACACGCATGCACGTCGTCATATGAGCGAAATATTCTCAAGCACGACGTTAAAACAATTTCACCTCACCTCACCTATAACGAATAGACGGATACATTGGGTCTTAACAACGTGTTGTAGACACTAGTAGAAATGCGTATAACGAACTACGGTTATGACGATCTAAACTTGGATGTTGAGATCAATGGTGATGTAATTGGTACGAGTATTATTGATTTGTTTATGAACTTAAGTTTGCAGTATTTCGATGACTGTTTTCAGTGTATTTAATGGGTTTGATAATGTCCAACGAATTCATGATTGTGTTGAAGAAGCTCGAAGATGTGTTTTAACAACGGCTACAAGCATTTATTTACCTAGATAGCAATATATTCTATATTTACACAGCTATATATATATACACTCTGTATTACAAAAGTAATGTTAATGATGTTTGTTTTGTGATGAATGGGTTAATGCATGTATGCTATATTTTGTACAAATTCAATATGACGAAAATTTAATGTACAAATATGCAAGCATACAACTTATCGATTTTTATCATACTCTGTGTGTGTGTGTGTGTGTGTGTGCGCGCGCGCGTATGTGTGTCTGTGGTATCATATAGGTATCACTGGTTCAACAGGTACATGTAGGGTGACATATAGATGGGTATTTCAGTGATGATTAAAGCGTTTGTTCGACTTGAGTTTGATTCCTAAAATGGTGAACTCCACTCACCCCATAAATGTGGCATTTCATCACTTGACATCCCATTCGACCTGCACACAATCACGTGCATAACACAAAGTCACATCGACACCTTGACACAGCAACCTATGAAAATATAACACTATTACTATTCACCATAACAGTTTATTGCATAGAAGTATTGATGCGAGATGCAATTTGCTATAGGGCTGCATCTGTCATACATGTAATTACAAACAGAGAAACACAAGTGGCGACACAAGCAATTGCAAATGCATGTGGATTGTCATTATAATAGAGACAGATAGATAAACAGACAGACACACAGACAGGTAGATAGATAGATAGATAGATCTATAGACAGACAGACATAGATAGACAGATAGATAAACAGACAGACAGAATCACAGACAGATAAGATAGATAGATAGATAGACAGACCTACAGACAGACAGACATATATATATATATATAGATAGATAGATAGATAGATAGATAGATAGAAATGTATAGACAAACAGACAGATAGACAGTTCTATAGACAGACAGACATATATATATATAGATAGATAGATAGAGATGTATAGACAAACAGACAGAAAGATAGATAGACAGATCTATAGACAGACAGACAGACAGATAGATAGACAGATAGATAGACAGATCTATAGACAGACAGATAGATAGATACAGATCTATAGACAGACAGACAGACAGACAGATAGATAGATAGATAGATAGATAGATAGATAGATAGATAGATAGATAGATAGATAGATAGATAGATAGATAGATAGATAGATAGATAGATAGACAGTAGTACTAGATAACCAAAGATACTATCACCTAGATCTAGTACATGGTCAATGTATTACTAAGATTAAGTCAATCTGTCCGTGGAGCACAAGATACATTAAATAACTCAACTGGACCGACAAGAACTGTGCATGAGCTTAGATTTCAGCATATCAACATGGAGATATTTAGCCAGCCCGACCCCGCAGTGGTTGTGCTGTCAGTGGAATTACTGTAATAAACTATCAATTACAGAATAAATGACTTGAACGCTAGTTTAATCTGAAAGCAATTTAGTCTCGGTTGAGCTGAACACTGAAGCGTTGGCATGTTGACCTTGCTTTAAATATGTGCAGAAACACATGATTCAGGTGTACGTTTGTGTAGCGTATATAGGGCTCGATTCGAGTCACAGTCCACACCATTCCCCCTGCTGTAAGGAATACACGAATACAAACAGATATATACAGATCACGGACTATATTCAACCCGTGTGAACATAACCAACTTCGTCCTTTTGCAAAAATATATTTTGGCAGAAGATGAGGTTTGTTTCATTCAAACAGTCGACGAACACCGGGTGTCCACGATTACAACTGAAGGGCTCTCGTCCACAGTTGGCATTCTAAAAGGCACTGACGTTACTTCCGTGTGTCTGAAGCACATGTATTAACATGTTGCATAACTAGTTATTTTGCACCGATTTAAAATGGTACAATTTGGTCCTTACCCAAACCTGGTGGACAGTATCTATTACATAATTGGTAGATGGCCTGATAAAGCCAGAGGATAAAAAGGGTATCCGCTGAGGTCAAGTACGGATAAAGATGGAAATATGAAATGTCAAACAGGTATCATTATCATTATTTACCGACAAACATGGCGTCGGCTTGTGAATATTTATATCGTTTTATGATATCGACTTTATTGAGATATTAAAGGGATAGCTGATATCACCTTCAGAGAAATAGTATGAAATAGCAAAAACCAGTGAGTTACTGGCTATTGTCGAGACATTTAGTTTTATACATATATTGCGAAACAATTTATCCAAGCTCAGCCTAGCCGAGCAGGGTCTGTTTTGATTACTGTTATTGTGAACGTGCAGTTTGGGTCCTTCTCGCCAATTTAAAAGTCACATTAAATATGTCCTTGTTTCAAAATGTCGCTGTATGCAAATCTGACTCTGTGCTTAGAACGTTATGAAAAACCGATGACAGGCCACGCAGACTCAACACACACGTGACGTCTCGTAGCCTACAGTCAGAGTAGCTTCCCTTTGACAAAAGTCTATTACTCCAGCGGTCGGACCGATAGGTTGCCACGACAGATTGCCACGATAGATTGCCACAATTATTCGTACATAATAATAATTACAGGAAAACGGTTGTGAGAGAGGAAACAGGCTTTTAGACGATAGAATTTTGAAATGACTTTGTAATCTGGAGAGGTCACCACGCATGCGTATCTGGCAAGAGAAATTTTCCTGGAGAAATTCATAGTGATCATTCCCGATGCATGATAGTTACTATCCGAAAATACTCTTGCGTGATAACCTCTTAGACTATCTTTTCCATTATAACTGGTTGTTTGTGGTTGTTCACTCATTGGCTCTGACACAAGGACGTCAAGGTCAAGTAATACTCTTCAGGGATTGTCTAATATCACATGCGCTTGTCATGGCTATTGATAGTCAGTGAGATTCACAGCATAGTAGCCGATGATGTCCCTGAGCTGAGTGGACTCCAGCCCGATGCTGATATCACGCACCTGCTTCTTCTGAGGGTACTGATGGGGCTTCATGTGCAGCAGTGATTTCCATGTAGATCCCGGGGCGATATCCTGTGAGAACAACAGGGGTACTTACATTGTTCTGGATAAACATCGAACGTTACATGTGGAATACAAAACATGTTACCAGCCGACATTCTGGTCAAGGCTGACAATACAGAAACCCTGCGAGATATGTCTTAGCAATCCTCCGGGGTTTGTGTTTTACGTTACTATATCATGCGTGTCTTCAACAAAGCAACCTGATCTTAATTTATATTGGAGTTTGTTTTAGAGCTATATATTCGCATTATAAGGAGGCAATGGCACTCACGGTAAAGCGAATGTGTCCTGAGTTGGATGTTGACAACTTAGACTGCCTTCAATATCAACCTGGCAGTTTGTGAGAGTCACCGGAAGTGGATTGGTGAAGTTCACGGTTACATCTAGTTCTTCATCTGCCTGACAGGAAGTGGGGCCCTGAAATGTAAAGAGTCGGGTTGAGAAGGTAGGTGCATAAAATGAATCTGACTCGACGTCTATCAGAGCGAAATGCAATAAGTGAGTGAGTGAGTGAGTATGATTTTACGCCGCTTTTAGCAATATTCCAGCAATAATACGGCGGAGGACACCACAAATGGGCTTCACACATTGTACCCATGTGGGGAATCGAACCCATGTCTTCGGCGTGACGAGCCAACGCTTTAACCACTAGGCTATCCCACCGCCCCGAAATGCAATAAAAATGTAAGCAAACTATTGTCACGTCCCGTGAAAATCTTCCGCAACCTTACGATCCCAATTCTTACTATTTAAACATAGTTAAACATATGGTAAACAATTCAAGGTAAGTACATGGTGGAGTAACATAAGAAACGAACCCGGAGTCTTATATTGGGTTGTCGTAGAAGGAACGACTTCTGTTCTGTGACAGGGTATTCGTCGTCGTCGTCGATTTCGGCCACGACCAGGATGAGGAAGTGGAGGTCGTCCTTTCCACGTATCCAGGAAACATCGGCGTCCATTTTCATGATGAATGTCTCACCTAAATAGATCGAAGGCACATATAGTCTTCGCTGTATATCGAACGGCAGCTCATTCGATATTTTGTATAGAATATAGACGATCATGAAATATTGATAGCGACTCGTGTCTGTGTGAGTGCCAACAGAATCTGATTCCGCGGCTCTGGCGTTTAATGTAACGAGACAGGATAACGATTTCTGTGTGTTGTGTATCGCAATTTGATGACAGATCTATCTTACGTCCCTTTTTGTATATGCTGGAACCTATATGGTAATTTCATATTGCGACCCGTGAAGATCAGAGTTAAAATTGGTCTTCAGTAACCCATGCTTGTCGTAATAGGCGACTAATGGGATTGGGTGGTCAGGCTCGCTGACTTGGTTGACAAATGTCATCGGTTCTCAATTGCCTAGATCGATGCTCATGATGTTGATCACTGGCTTGCTGATCCAGACTCGATTATTTACAGACCGCCACCATATAGCTGGAGTAGTGCTGAGTGCGGCGTTAGACAACATTAAACGACTTTCATACAGCAGTAGCAGGTATCGAGAACTCACTTTGGCCGGGTGTCAGCTGTAATGATTCAAACTCTTTTCTTTGAGCCTGTCCAGTAATGGCACCAAAGTAGGTCTTGTGCAAGACTTTCAGCACCACTCTTTTGACACAATGCATGTTTCTTCCTGTATTCTTCACGTGCACCGAAAATTGAAAGTCGAAACCTACAAAGACGTCTCGGATATCTTCTATTTCAATTTTGATGTCCTGGACAAAAAAAGAATAACAGAAGTATCTTAAAGCTTTTGAGTAATTTTATAATAATCATAAACTATTTTAAGAGGAGTTTTCCATCTAAGAGCAATTGAACTGTAATTTAACTTGATATTAGGCATCACCAACATGACAAATGCATAAACATTCGAATAAACAAGGAATTGAAATTCCGATGGAATTCAGAACAACTAATTATAATTGCTGATGTTACCATTACTGCCCCAGATCAGAAGCAAAGCTTGGACGATCAACTCGGCGAATGTCCTTCTTACACGTATCTCTTGGTAAATAAATAAATGAAAAGGAACCCTACATCTCTATCCCTGGTGACGTTGTCACTGTTGTAGATGTTGTTGTTGACACCGATGAGACTCTGGAAGGCTTTCTCCACCTTCTGAAGAACAACCTCCCCCCTTTTCGACCCTGAAACGAAAGAGACGCAACGTAGATCACACCAGAATCTACAGATGGCATCGGTAGTACACTATGCAATTACAGGGAAATGTTGTAGTGGTTTATTCGCCCACATCCCAATGCAAGCGTACAATCCGTTTCTCTAAACTCTAAATGGACGTCTTCAATTGCAAGTTTGCAAACATGGGCAAGTAAAGGTCTCAGTGCTAGTTTTACCATTTGAAATTTACTCGTGGAACTTCTGGCCATCACACAGCCAAGACTTCTTCCAAGACCTTTTCGGAGAATGTACATGTGTTGCCTCCCCAACACTGCAGCCTTCTTCATCACCCAGATCAGAAGGGCTGTGCTCCTGGCAGCAAACCCGTTACCCTCCCAATGTCAGCCAAGAGATTGGGAAGTACCAAACCTAAGGTTACATGAACAATGGGAGAGTTGGTACTTGCTACTTGTGATTATTACTAACGGCAAATTCATTACCCAGTGTATTATAATCCCCGTTCCATTTTGTAAATACGTGTGCCTATTTACTACCACAGGCCCGTTTTCAGCTCGAATCGTTTGGCGCGCGACAGCCGTCAAATCAAATTGCTCTGTCGAAGGAGAGAAATTCTGTGCTCGTGGAGAGATGGAGGTGGTGACTTCACTTCAGTAACGGAGCTACTATGGCGAATGGGTTCAAGGTGGGCAATGAGCTGCTTGATGATGATGTGGATGACGTCTACCTACCTTCTTCATATTTGTAGGTGTTGGTGATGTCGCGTCTCTCAAGCTTCTGGGAGCCGCCGAAGCTCCTCATTGATGCCCCGCGGTAGGCCCGCCCTGTAGGCTGATGGGTGATAATCTCTTTACCTGCGCTGAAACAGGACGGTGGAGACATTGGGTAAGTTAAGGTTTACGCCGCACTCAGCAACAGTTCAGCTATATGGCGGCGGCCTGTAAATAATCGAGTCTGGACCAGAGAAGCCAGTGATCGACAGCATGAGCATCGATCTGCGCAATTGGGAACCCATGACATGTGTCAACCAAGCCAGCAAGCCTGACCACCCGATCCCTTAGTCGCCTCTTACAAGCATGGGTTACTGAAGGCCAATTCTAACCCAGACCTTCACGGATCGGTAACATTGTGGAAGGCACGGATATACAATCAACGACATTAATCACAACAGACCTGGGTCAAAATCAGCAACAAATATTAATACATCCTGAATATTCTACGTATTTTGTCCTGAAAAGAAACAAATACAATTTTGCACGAGTAGGATTTACAGATTCCCTACATCTATTCTCTGAATCAATACATCCAGTTGCACATATCTACAACCTTCCACAGATACGGTTTATCTGTTTTCATATACGCTTCATCTATTCTCGGATTCACTACATCCAGTTGCACATATCTACATCCTTCCACAGATACGCTATATCTGTTCTCACATACGCTTCATCTATTCACGGATGATGCTACATCCATTCACAAAAACCGCTTCATCTGTTTACATATGTGCTACATCTATTCACAAATATGCTACATATATTCATTAATACGCTACATGCATTCACAGATACGCTACATCCATTTTCGGATACGCTACATACATGTACAGTATACTACGTTTTAAACGAACACGCTCATAACGAACTGACGGATATAACGAACTGGTATATTTCTCTCCGTAAGTCGTTTTGTATTTTATTGGAACGTACTACGACTTTTTCGAAATAAAAATCAGTGGTTCCTTTGAGTTCGTTATAACCGTAGTTTAAGTCGCAACTATGAACACATAGTCGATGCCAGAACGGCCTCGGGATTTGTAAAGTTGGTATTGCTCAACTGAGAATATCGAACCCTTTAACAAATCTATAAGCAGAACCATTAATGGTTAGATACACTCCCCGTGTTTATTTAGGTAACGTAAGTTCTCTTTATAGTTATAACCGTTTCTACTGAACACCCGAGTACTTTCAAGAACAAGAAATCGCTTCTCTTAACACAGGGTGATCTTTATGCCAATAATCGCCTGCAGGAATGTTTCGGGCTGCAAATATCGATCTCACTTACATGTTCTTGTCCCGTCCACACTCCACCAGCTTCCCAGTCAGGTGATTCTCTCTCCACTGCACTCTGTCAGCGTTCACTTCCGTAAATATGAAGCCGACGTCACCGTCTACGCGAACGTCACCGTCTTTGACGGCTCTCACCGGACACGGCCCGCACGTGTAAATACCTTTAGAGGCAAAAAAACTGAGTTCATGGTATTTGTCATTGACGTTGGTGATACCGTGAAGTTTTCAGTAAACATTCTAAATTACTGGGGAACGATATGCAAGTGATGAAACCTTACATATTTATCAACCACTACAGAAAATGTTGACGTTATAGCAACCTTTCTACATAAATGGAATATATATCTAACTGATAAAGAAACTTCATCATATATGACGAGATACAAACACATATAAAGTGAGTGGGAAACGCTTGTTTAATGTTTAAACATAATATTCAAGCTATACTTCTCATCAAAAGTTTAGCCACTAACTTCAGGCAACTGTTCTAAACTCGATTTTGCAATATATTCCATACTGTTTATGAGTACTGTTTACGCATGAACTGATGTATTGTAAAAACTTCGTAACGTTGAAAAGATTATTGTCATGAGTTCAGTAAATGATAAACATCAGTGAAAATGGCGAATACTTAACAAAACTTTACACCACAACGCAGCTGTTCACATGCACGATATTTGCACATGCTTTTCATCAATTTAATACATGACCTCATGCAATTCATCTGCATAAAGTTTGCAGTTGGTTCCCCCAAGTTAGTGGAGAAATCAATCTTCGATGTAACCATATGTATATACATAACATACAGTAAGTGCTTTAAGGAAGTCTAAACTTTTGAAGAGAAGTATTATGGCGGCGATCTAATCGAGTTTCGTCCAGACTGATATCGTAAGCTACGCCAATGGGAACTATCTTCCTCTCAGTGAAAATGGCAATGGGTATACATTCTTGAACGTACTGCACCCAAATTACTATCGCTCTTAATCTACTCTGGGGTATCTTCACCAATTCAGTGTCGACATTACCCAACGAGCACCCTCTCACCCGGCTTACCATTACAACGTTCCTGAAGGGTAGGGTCGACCACCTGCCACCCATCGTAGTCTCCCTGTGGGTGAAGGTCAGGCCGTCTCATCCAAGCCTCACTCCAAACATGATATGACCTGCGCACACATAGGCATGAGTAGGACGTCAACAGATGATGTGTGATTAAATGTGTGATGAGGACTTGCATGGTCACTTCATTAACAGTTGGTCAGCTAGAATTCGTATATATTAAAAGGTAAAACTGACCTCTGAATATGAAGCTTCTTTACGATGTTTCTTAACAGAAAATGGGTGAACAGTTCCCCTATGAAACTGCCATTTTCCCTTATGTGCTTTGATCCAAGGAACGCGGGTATGAATATTTTGATTCGCTTGGCATATAATTCTTGCTTTCAATCAACATGAAGCTGACATATTAATTGAAACGGGTACCCTGGTAGTTAAAGCGTTCGCTCGTCACGCTGAAGACCCGGGTTCGATTCCCCACATGGGTACAATGTGTGAAGCCCATTTCTGGTTGCCCCCTGATGTTGCTGGAATATTGATAAAAGCGGCGTAAAACACAACTCACTCACTCACTCACTCATTAATTGAAACACTGTTCAAACAGTGAACACAAAGCTCACTCAGTCATTCAATCATTGCTATCATCTGTTCAACAGAAACAGTTTCGTATTCGTAAAGATAAGGGGCAGAGTGCCCAGCATTGATACTCAAACAATTCTGAATTGATTTATAGGGCTTATCAGTTTCACGATCAAGTTCAATACCTATAGCTTAGATCTTGTCTGTTTGTACCAACATAAAAACAATCAAAGTCCACACAGATTTACCGCTGTCAGCGATTAAAACCTTCACAGGCTACATACACCGAGTACGACACACCCATGCCACGCAGACACGCCATTACATATAACTTAAGTGCTGTTGAAAGACCATAAACAGAACGAGCGTTATTGGAAATAAAATGTAGGGCAAAAGAAGGTAATGTTTGCTGGTGGCTGAACATGATAGAAACAAGTACTGCTTACTCGACGGTGATATCAGTATCATAGTTGTGTGTTGTGACTTCAATCTGGAGTGTTTTGACGACTGTTTTCTACCTGGTCACATTATGTTGACGTTAGTAATGTGCACATCAACTGCTATTTTCAAGTGTATATTTTCTTTTGCCCGACAGTTTAGCATGACAAGTGGGGTATTAACTAATATATAACGAGAAATATTTCCCTGAAAGGTATGTTCAAATGATTTCGGACTCGTGCAAGGTTTATACTTCAGACATGCTGATATATCTAAAGAATATGAAGGATATCTGAATTTAACACTGACTGACTGACTGAATTTGGTTTGATGCCGCTTTTAGCAATATTCCAGCAACATCACGGCGGGAGACACCAGAAATGGGCTTCACACATTGTACCCATGTGGGGATTCGAACCCGGGTCTTCGGCGTGACGAGTCAACGCTTTAACCACTAGGCTACCCAACCGCCCCCTGAATTTAACAACTTCATACGAATCTCTATGAGTCCATAATGGCCCAAGTCAGGTACTTTATGTACCTTGATACTTTCAGTTTGACTGAAAATAACCCAACTCACGTTCAGTTATTAGATGTCACACTAAGTTTTCGCGAAACACTTTAATGACCACAGCACTGACGTTCAAGATTATTATTAAGCGTTTCGAGAGTTTTGACCCTTTCTGAAATCAGGCACATTTTGTGTGTCGTTATTTTCACTATACTCCATCGTCCTTTGAAAGGTCATTAGGCTACCTCTATGGAGGTCGAGGACAGCGTCATTAGGTACCAACCAGACGGCGTCATCTGAGATGTCACTCCAGTCCCCGCTTTCGTCTTTCACCTGGATGTAGTCAACGTTGAGGCTCGTCATGTCCACGTTGTGGGCTGTGTTGTAGCAGGTAACACCCCGACATGGAATACCAAGGGCCCGACAAACTGAATAGACAAAACTCTTTACTAATGGACAGTCGTGAAATAACCGCTAATGAATAACGTAAGGCCAGTTCTACACCTTTAGTTTTAGATACATAGCTCAGTAGTGGTGGTGCGATGACACAGGATCTAGGTTCAACCCCCCAAATGGTTACTATTGTATTTGTCTTTTGTAAAACTGCAAATTGTGCTGTCACTAAAACCATCACAAGCTAACTTACCAGATATCACCCAAACTTTCATTCACTCACCTAAACACTTTCCCACCCTCCCATCAACACATAACTCACTCACTCACCTGTTATCAGTACACCAGCAAAGACCCAGCACTGTCCGTATTTGACAGGTTCCTGTGTGTCCATATACTGACGAAGTATCTTAACGCTGCCATTCCACTTTGTGGGGCGCGTCCCTCCCTCAAAGTCTCCGCTCCAGTTACCCACCAACACGCCGTCGTTTTCGGGGGCGTTAACCTGTCGATCATGGTCATTACGCATGAAGCAATTGTTTCCTTCTTTAAAGAACATTTAATTCAATGAGAACTACCTTCCGACTGGGATTAACGAGGCTAAAATCACTGGATCTCACGAACATATACTACACATATCTAAGAGTCTTCGACCGAACATCTCAGCATTCATGAAACCTGTACTTCTAACCCAAATCCCATCCTATCCGCAAACCCAATCCCTGTTGCCACCTCTGACCCTGTGCCCCAGCCCCATCCCTAATCCCTGATTCTTGACCAAAGCTCCTCCCTATCCTAATAACAGTCACAATCCCCCATCCCCCGTCACCATAACCATCCCCGAGTGTAACAACAGCCTCAACAATCCCTTCCCCACCCCGTCACAATCCCACCTTCGTCGGTATCACCATGTCCAACCCCAACTCTATCCATTATACTCTGTGCCCATCCTCCACCAAAGCCCCCACCCCTCCCCTTTACCGTGTCCCCATCCTCCATCCAAGGCCCAACCCATCCTTTATTCACCCGATAGAGTGAGACCTATCGATTCCCAATATTGTAGGGACCTTTTAACATTGAAAGAGGAGGTTACATTCTGACTGATCAAAGCATTGATATCCGCCAAGCTGTCTCTAACTTGAATAAATGGAAATTCACGATCAGTTCATTCTATTACCATGAGACATATGTAAAGCTTACGTCACCCTTTCTTTTCATCGAATCTATCACCAGTCTTCCTGAACCCCATGAAAAATGTTTACAAGTGAAATGCACGTAATTGTGTATGCAGTTATTGTACGGGTCTCCACAGAATGAACTGGGACAGAACACGTGTTGTATGTTCCCCAGGGAACTGAGAAGGTAATCTATTATTCGCGCAACAATATCAGGCAATTTCAGATTCTCTCCCTTGGTGCTCTCTGGAAGGGTTTATGTGTATTGATAATTATTGCTGTGGTGGTATAGTTACTATACAAATGATTTGCCTACAGTCGCTCACGGCTGAAGGGATGGTGTAAATCCAGCTAGGGTCCATGCAAGTAGCAAAGGTGCTGTAAGTCCCCATGGTCCCTAGTATGGTGATCTACCTTCAGTTGTTGGCGATCTATTTTTGTATTGTGTTGTCGTCTATAGTTAAAATGTTTTAGATTCAATTACTACTTTTACATTTAAATCTGTGATATTCTAGTTGTTTTACTGTCCTTCGTTGACAGGATTTATAATTGATCTTTAATTATTGTTAATCTATAATTTGTTTTAGTCACGATATGGCTGAAATATTGCCAAGGTGACTTTAAATTTAACTCACTCACTCACTACTATACAAATGAAGCGTACGTAGGAAGAATGACAATCTGACTCACGATTTGTCCGAGACCTTTGACCACCCTTGCCACATTCCCCATGGTCGTGGTAGCCTCGAACCCGAACGCCCTTCGTACCAGATGCAGAGCCACCTCAAGGATGCCGTCCTCGAACTGGGGACACACAGACATATATCTTCAGGGTTGTTAGGTCCGACATTGCGTTCATGTTAACACGTATGTACACATACTAGTTTTAAGGAGTGAGTATAGTCCTACGCCTCCTTTAGCAACATTCCAGCGATATTATAGAGGGGGCTACCAGAAATGGCTTCCAAACACTATACTCAAGCTTGGAATCGAATCCGGTCTTTGGCGTGACGAGCGAACGCTCCAGCCATTAGGCTACCCTATCCGGCCATATTTGAATAAAACTCTTGGTGTCTTTAGTGGTATTGGTTTGAAATCAATTTAGATTTCATTTTGTAGCATAATGAAAAAGTGATCTATTACCATATTGAAGATTTTGAAATGACCATACGGATGAATGTTAACTTGTTAAATGTCCCACATGTCCGATACACGTGACTTATTGACTAATTCGGGTACATTTATATAACACTGCCGTTTTTCACTGGTGTTACAAACTACGGGCAAAAGAAACCAAACATCCATGTTTGGAGGTGCTTAATACTTAAACAAACAAGTGATGCTTTTCAATGGTGATGTATTTGACAAGGGTATCTGAATCTGAAATTTGTTTTACTGTCAAATCAAACTTTCAACTTTATACGAATTGCTCCGGCTGATAATATCAAGCTGCTAAAAATTACTGACAGTAATCGATATACACGGACCCGTGAAGATCAGGGTTAGAATTGATCTTCATCAACCCATGCTTGTCCTAAGAGGCCACTAACGGGCTGGGGTAGTGAGACTCGTTGACTTGGTTGACACATGTCATCGTATCCCAATTGCGTTGATCGAAGTTCATGGTGTTGATCACTGGATTGTCTGGTCCAGATTCGATTATTTATAGGCCGGTGCCATACACCTGGAATATTGCTGAATGCAGCGTTGAACAAAAATCCAACCACCCATATTATTATTAAGTACTCGTTTCATTATTACGATCACTCGAAGCGATATCCGTAGAACAATGTTGTTTGTAGCTCACCTGGCCATAGAACCAGGAAGATGCCGCCATCTTGGAGACGCTGCCCGAGTATTGGGGCCCGGAGTCGTTCAGAACCGCCTCCTTCCGCCAGTCCTCGTCCTCCATATACACTATGTCCTCTGAAACAGGACCCAGCGATGTTCACGATCGAGGAATTAGAAATATAATCCTCTTTTTAAATGACTCAATGTATGTTTGCTGCTTAAGTATTTAAATTTATTTCTTGGTAAGGAAATGATCCGCAAATATATACTCAATCTTTTGTATAATTAATAGGGAATCAATGTAATATGGTTGCACGTGTTCCTAACGGCACTCAAGAGGGATGTCCGGTCATTGATGTCATGGTCACCACTAGCAACTAATTACTCGGGAAGCATGACAATTGTTACAATGTTGTCCATGAATTAGAACAAGGAAGTCATTTTAGCATACTGATGGCAGCGGTATTTAATAACGATGTATCTTATGATAAAAGCCATCCGTCCTACATCCAGCTCATACAGAACGTTATTGAATTTGTCTTCCGTTTATTATGAATCTTCATGGCTCATTATCTGTCTCTATAATTCAGCGTCAGTGTCTATGAGTAACCATCGATGGCAGTGACAGTGTAAATATTCATCAACGTTTCCCCATCAAGGGTCTTTGTTACAGTCCGGTTGGCAACCGTGCTGTTTAGGTGACATGTTGATATATAGAATAAGAAAAGATCAGCCATTTAACATAGCACGATTACCATTAGCACCAGGCAACGATTATTGTGGAAAAATTAAATGGCGTTCAACTGTGTCGATGAATACATTGTTTCTGGGTTCGGCCGAGGGCTTTGACGTCAGCCAACGTCTGAAACATTTATCACCTCACCTCGGCACCATGGGTTGAAGATGATGGTGACGTCTTCATTGTGGGTGTACTGCCAGATGACCTCGGAGTCCTCCTTTGAGTCGACGACTACCGTGATACTGAACTCCCATTCCCCGACTGGTGTCGTGGCGGGGACGAATATCGCCAGGGTGACGGAGGTGGCGTCCTGTCCCACACATGTAGCGCGCCACTTGGCGCGGCTGTAGGAAGTGTTTGCCCCAACCTGCACCTTCATGGTGGCGCTGAGCTTCGTGTGGGGCTTGTAGTCTTCACCTTCGAGACGAACAAATACAAATAATTCCGGTTATCACGAACGGGTTGCTGACATAACTACGTTTACAAATATATGTCGCTTTACAAGGGTGACTAATGTGATTAGTGAGTGAGTGAGTGTAGTTTTACGCCGCTTTTAGCAATATTCCAGCAATATCACGACGTGGGACACTAGAAATGGGCTTCACACATTGTACCCATGTGGGGAACCGAACCCGGGTCTTCGGCATGACGTTTTCACCACTAGACTCCCCCACCGCCCCCTAATGTGAGTAGGGCAAGGGTAGCAGTCTAAGGAAGTCTCGTGTTTAGCGGTATCTCATGGCCTTGTCAGAATTTGATTATCGAATTAGATCTATATAATTTGCCCTGATTATGATTTGTGGTTTGTCATCTCAATATTTGTACTGGTTTTACCAACGTGATAACAGTTTACGATCTCAATGACGCCATGCGTTCGTTCAACATCTATACAAAACCCCGTGACGGAACTGAAATGCAGTTGAAAGTAGCTATAAACGAGCTCACTTACACCTACAACTAGATGGAGGGGATAGCATAGTTGGTTCAGTGCTTCTTTGGTGCAATGTACAGAAGTATTTTTAGTGCCCTTTTAATACCGACCATGTATTATTTTGTGATATTTTGTGATATTTCTTGGATTTGCAGGATTTTTGTCAGAAAGAATACATGAAAAGTCAGATTTTTTAAACCCAGAACCTTCCCCGAGCCCCATAGGCCTTTTGTTGTAAAATTCCGGCATTATAGTTCTCCATTACACAACTTCACTAAGTTGCTGAAATGTTTTCTGACATGTTATTAACTTATGACTCGTTATCTACCAACTAACTAAACTATCAAAAGATCTGCCCCTACCGAGGTTAAATGTCAAGGTGAGGTCAGACTTTTTAGGATCACAGGGTCGGTCAAAGAGCACAGTCATAAGGAACTCCTGTCCTCTACGGATAACCAGCTCTGGCTTCATCCTGGTAGGATGTGTCCGCTGGTCCCCCGTGCATTGGTACAGGTTTGTGTGGTGGGCCTCTGTGTTCTCCTTGATGTGCAGGTTGACCCCAGTGACATGGAGGCGCTCCTCCAACAGGTGTGGGTCAACCTCCAGCATTGCTTGCTCTGAGGGAAGAAGATCAGCAACCGTCACTCAGTGACAGACTATAGATAAGGACAACAACAAAGTGATTACCTGTTGTGGGTGGTTTTCACCGTGATTAGTGTGTCTATTTCATCTTAAGCTTTTGATAAGAAACCATTATTTTATTTTGTTATTTACTATGGTAAATAATAAGAGAGCGGTTGGTGAGACATTCCAAAGGAAACGACAATGAATATTGTTCTGGCCTCAAGAATACAATACAATAAGTTTGTTCATTACACGATAACAAGTAAATGTGTAGAGATAGAGTAATATCCAAACTTTATATACTTTTTTTAATTTAGAAAGGAATTCAAATATTAGCAACCCCATTCATGTCAACGTGACTTTTGTCTGAAATAGCAGTTCCGTCAGAAAACATGAACGTTCAAAACTGCATAATTCTGAACGCACTTGTAGGGGGAACACGCGGACATACAGAGGACATAAGGACATATCAGTGTCATTTAATTACTCGCAAGATACTAGACGTGTTTCCGCCAGATGCTTTGTGTAATATGAACGTGAATTAATGAAACTAGTGAATCAAGTTCAATGTTGATTTCTCCCACTGCTAGTCAAGATGACTAAGATCAAACCTGTCTATAATGACGTCGGAGACCCAGGATGACCTTTCTGGGCGCTACATGAACTCAGAAAAAAGAATTAAATGGGAACTAACACCATTCATCTCTACCTTCAAATAGCAGTCCGATCTTGTGATGGTCAGATGAGTAGCCGAATTCTGCATCTCTATCCCATGCTGGCGGCCAGGCCCTCTCATAGGTGTACCAGGGGTAGCGTTTCGTGAACCGGTCGTGGATGTTCCAGTCGGGACTTCAGCCAAGGGTCAAGACAAAAATGAGAAATGGCGGACTGCGGAATGACAGTCTGCAACACTCAGCAACATCAAAACTATTGTACGGTGCCCTGCAGTAGTCAGCAATAATTTTACAGCTCTTTAGACAGCAATGGTATATATACATAACTATGGTCCACAGTAGACAACACTACTACAACTATGCTGGAAAGACTGTCTTCAGTTGACAACTGATCATGATTGACTGACGGACTGGGTTTGGTTTTACGCCGCTTTTAGCAATATTCCAGCAACATCACGGCGGGGGACACCAGAAATTGGCTTCACACATTGTACCCATGTGGGGATTCGAACCCGGGTCTTCGGCGCGACGAGCCAACGCTTTAACCATTAGACTACCCCACCGCCCCAGTTGACAACTGAAGAACGTAAGTCAGCAATATTACAGCTACAACACGATGGCCTCAAATAGCCAGCTATATCACAGCCGTAATACGGTAATACGTATTTGATACGTATAAAGAGAATGCAGTGTTGGTCACCTGGGTCCATTGTACACGGAGGGCTCTATGGATACCTCTTGGGACGAGAAGCTTGCTTGGGAGATGGACTGATTCACCTCCTCTGTCGGGTTGTTGTCGGACTCGGTCTTCACTGGGGTTGGGGAACTCCTAGGAGAGAAATGCCAGTGCGAGGCTTTAAGGCACCATCGAGTGAAGGGACTCTTTTGATGTGGGAATCGAGAAAATACAAGACCACATTATATAGAGTGGGACAATTGTTGGGAGGTGAGGGGAAGCGAGGCGCTGAGGTGGGAAGGATGTAGACAGGAGAGCGTCTTGAAAGGGTGTGGATCGAATAGTTGGATAACTTTAGTGTAGATAGAGAGGAGTCACCAGGAAATGTGTGAATCGGGGCAATGCATACCTTTAGTGTGGAGAGGGACCGGGGGCTCTTGAAAGGGGGTGTATCGAATAGATGGGTAATTTTCGTATTGATAGAGGGGACAGTCAACTGAAAGGGTGTGAATCTAGGAAATGTATCTTTAGTATGGATAGATGGGGAACCACTGGAAAGAATTCGAAAGGCTGAAATCGAAGGAAAGGCCAGAGGGGGTCGGTGGAGAGATGATGCACTGCTTATAGAGATTGAGTCAGTGGACTGACATAGGTGAAAATGAAGATATATGTCCTTATCATTAAAATATAGGGAACCAGCTGTGATTTGAGACAATGGGATATATGCCCACAGTAAAGAGAATGGGGAGTTGATGGGTGTATTGAGGGTGTGGACTGGTATGGAGGCGGAAGAGTCAAGAGGATATTTGACATTTCTGTATTTAAAAGATATACATATGTAAGACAGCCTTTTGTTCTATGTGAGCTAAGGATACTGTCAGGGTTAGATCTGGGCAATTAACTATTGTGAGCTAGCCTTGAAACAAGAGAGGGGAGAGTTCCTTAGGTTTCTTCAAGCAAGTGGTGAAAAAACCCCAAGGATTTCATACCCTACAGCTCTACTCGTTTGCTATGATAAATGTCTCTCATGTTATAATTTCCAGATGCATCCTATGCCGTCACGGTTTACTACACGAAGTAGGTGGTAAGAAGATTTAATTATGGTGTAGCCACGGTCAAACCTGCGCCAGTTGGTAACAAAATGTCTATCAGCGCTTGACCATGGTATTTACAACAGGTGGAAGGCGTGTAAGATATTAATCTCAATACTGTTAAAAAATAGTTGATAGTTAATTACGACTTAGTCGATGGTAAAACCTGCACCTGTTGGGGAGGGAATACTTATCTGTTCTTGGCCAATGAATGTACAAAATCATGATTCAATATCGCCGCACTCAGCAATATTCCAGCTATATGGCGGCCATCTGTAAACAATCGAGTCTGGATCCAATGATCAACAGCATGAGCATCGATCTACGCAATCGGGATGACGATGTGTCAACCAAGTGAACGAGCCTGACCACCCGATCCCGTTATTCGCCTCTTACGACAAGCATGGGTTGCCGAAGATCAATTCTAACCCGGATCTTCATGTTAGCATGTGCAAAGAAGGAAGACCTGTGTCGACACAGCTCACTAACTTTATCTTTGATTAATTAGTATAAGTATGGCGTGGGCGCGTTTGCTAATTGACTGCCGCTGCGCTTGACAATTGATGCCATAAATAAGATGCAGTACCTGCTCATATAAGGACCTCATTTGTAAAGAATAATATTGTGAAAACATAAAAAATGTATAAAAAGGTATGCACTGTAATATACATTATATGAGAATCAGGGACATGTAATACATGCTTCAGACTCAAAGCAAATCGGTTACCAAATTATCAAAGTTTCCGCAGAATATTGAGTCAATCCGAAACGATTTTTTAGTTTGCGCGTGTTCTTTTCCCTATAAATATAGAACAGTTTGAAAACGAAAAGCTCATGTGTAGGTGTTCAAGTGGCTATTGTGAATGCTATACCATTATGTCATTTTAAATTTCTTATCCTGATCGATAATGTGAAGTGCCATTTCCTTGAATGGGAAATCAATGATCTAAAAGTTCAAGTCGATATCCTTTGCTCGTAAAATCCTTGATTGGCAATTATGATGTGCGGTTAGCAACGCACAGATCTACGTATCCAGGCGAAGTTTTTTTCACTTATGTACACCTTTGCGGCGGTATAGTGAGGGATGTAGTTGATCGTTAACGGCGAATTTGGCACATAGGGGGTGAGGGGGGGGGGGGTGTTGTTGGTGGAATGGGGTTCAACGCATCGTTCAAGATCAATGAACTTATAAAGCCATGGGCATGCCTTTGTGTAAATGGACCTGTGCGTAGAGATCAGGTCACAAAATCAGTTGAAGTTAAGCAACGTTGTGTGCGGAGAGGTCTTGGATGGGTGACCGTGTGTGACAGCTTGACTCCTGAGAGTTTCTAGGACTACAGTCCTGCCACACAACGAAGCACATGTGATACATATGGTCTCACCTTTATCAAGTGAGTTTGTCCAAAATTGCCTCTGTTCACCCAGCGGAAAATGGCATAACAGGCAGCTTGGGGTATCCGGGGTAATAATGATCAGATTGTGCGCTTTGAGCAGGATAACTAGCCTGGAAAAGGCGCGTTATAAATATTCTCATTAATATTATTGCGTGCGTGCGTGCGCGTGCGTGCGTGTGCGTGTATGCATGTCAGAAATTATGCCGTTTTTATAGTGCCAACCCGCTGACTATAGCATACCTCAGTTTAATATGGATACCCACTGACATATTGAACTGACTCCGATCCTTGTTTATAGCCTATACTCTGAGCGTCAGGCACGGTTACAACAAGTACCATATTTTAACGCCTTTTAGTATGAGGTCGAACTACCACCTTCCATTCTCAGATGTTCTATTCACTATCGGTTAAATAGCGCAAACCCAGTCAGATACTATGACCAGCTGAACACGGATACCCCACTCAAGGCCTAAATTATACTCCGACTCGAACACGCCTTGTCCCTTTCATGCCCAGCGTCAGGCAAGGTAACATCAAGCAACTTCTCTTAACGACGATTAGTATGGCGCGGGCTGGGGATGGAATGCCCGACCAGAAAGACGCTCTATCGACTAACAATGCAAGTAAGCTATAGCACACAGACACTGCCTGTCAGCATTGAATACCGGCTTTGTATGATATATCGTTACATTTGTGATCACAGACCATATGCGATCCTGGAACCTTTAATAACAGGCTTACAAATTCCACAGGCCCGTGATGATGTGATATTGTGATAGGAATGACGATGTAACAACTGCAGTAAAGACAACAACGACAATGATGACGATGCATCTCACACATTACAACACAATGAAGTAACGGCGATGATTTATCTGAACGGTGGGAACTGCAACATCGGTGGTAACGACAACGACGGTTCAATATATAAATAACGACATCAGCAACAGCAAAGACGATAGTGATGGCGACAGATGACATTGACATCAATGACGGTGAAGATTATCCCAACGATACCGACAACTAAGATAATGATAGTATGCGCACATCAATATGCCTTGGAGGACGACGATTCTTAAAGGAAGCGTTTGTTCTGGATTCTCAAGCAAAAAGAAAACACTTTATTGATTTTTAAAATGTTAAGATATTCAAAGCTTAGCGCATTCAATGAGCAACACCCTTTCAAGTTGTGTTGTGTTTCTAAGGAAGTCTTGGAGCAAAGTTTCACCTTGTGCGTCACAAACAACGCCCCAGTACATCAACTCGGAACCAAGTAGCTGGTCTAGTTGAAAAGGATGATTCAACTGAATATACAGAATGAACTCAAAGTGTATCATGGTTGAACGGCCTCCTTTATTTGGTACACCTAGAGCTGAAGGGCATCTTGTTGTGAAGATTGACCTACGTGAGTAAACAAACACAGACTGGAACCGTGATAAGTGCTTTTGAAGTCTATTTGAAGTGCACTGGTGCACTGGTTTCACGAAGATTAACCAGTGCACATCGTCAGTGTGTGAGTGAGTGAGTTTTGTTTTACGCCGCTTTTAGCAATATTCCAGCAATATCACGACGGGAGACACCAGAAATGGGCTTCACACATTGTACATATGTGGGGAATCGAACCCGGGCCTTCGGCGTGACGAGCGAACGCTTTAACCACTAGGCTACCCCACCGCCCCTCGTCAGTGTGTGATGTGGCACCTAAACAGTACTAGTGTTCCAAGGATGTGTAAGGTGGCCACGTGCATCCGCATTCATGGATGAGGACCCATCTCCGTTGACAGGAACACGGTAATTGATGATAGTCACGAGCCTCTTGAGTCAGTGAATATGGTTGTATGCTGCTTTTAGCAACATTCCAGCAATATCATGGGGTACACAGGAAAGCATTTAGCCTTGAACAAAGATGAAATGGACGCTTATAATTTCGAATAGCTTAACTATACCGCTTCATTTAAAATCTCAAACTATTTCAGAAAAAGAGAAAATGTTACAAGCATATGGCAGTATAGTTTTTTATGGAAATTTGAGAAGGCTGTCGGAACAACTTTATCTTTGTGGATTTGATTTCTGCTTGAATCAATGGCTGTTTTGTGTAGTGGTTAGAGCGTCCGTCCGGAGAGCGGAAGGTCGCGGGTTCGATCCCCGACCGCGTCATACCAAAACACGTTAAAATATGGTACTTGTTGGTCCTTGCCTGGCGCTCGGCATTAATGGGTACAACAAGGACTGGTCGGCTCGGAATCAGTATAATGTGTTAGAGTGGGGTATTCATGCTTCACTTCGGCATGGTATCTCAGTGGGCTAGCACTATAAAACCAGCTTCAGTCTGGGCTAGTACAAGCAGCCGCACATACACATACACACGCATGCACGTCGTCATATGAGCGAAATATTCTCAAGCACGATGTTAAACCCAATTTCACCTAACCTCACTGTTTTGTGTACTATCAAGTACGTAGTCCACCACGCAAATTCTATCATACTTCAAATATACGTACGCTCAAGTCCGTGATCCCCAAAATCAACACCACCCGTAGAAATTCAAGACACACACAGTCAACATTAACTTCATAGGAACTTCAAGAAAGGCAGTCATGATATAAAGAGAGGTTTCTCCTGAAATAACAGTGCCCAAAATACTGATGTTTTACTTTTCTGGGATTCCGAGTTAAAGTGGCTCTACCAAACCAAATCCACCCGTAGAGATTCAAGACACAGACACAGTCAGCATTAACTCCCTAGGAACTCCAAGCAAATGCAGTCATGATATAAACAGAGGTTTCCCCTGAAATGAGAGTGCTCAAAATACTGATGTTTTTCTAGGATTCCAAGTTAAAGTGGCTCATAGTGTACTAATTTCCGTGTACGGATCGAGTGTAGGTAATTCATCTTCCCCCTAAAGTGGCCGCATAAACATGGAACGGTTCAGTGTTTATATCTAAAAGCCAATCCGCCCGTGTTCATGTGTTGCAAACATATTAACATATGGGTTCATGTTTCATTGCCAGGTATACACAGGAATATCTTTGGTCATATATGTAGATGGGATTGATATAATTAGACGACGTCTGAATATAAAGGACTTTGAGCCATACGTTTTCAACGACCATGGCGTTTCTCAGTTTTCTTATGATTTTCCTTATAATAACGGCTATATATAAAGTGCCAATGCTATTAATTAGTTCTTTTCTCTATAAATAACGAAGAAAATCGATTACACCAATAAGTGGTAGTGACGTATGTACAGGAATGTCTAAATAAGTTCCCTGCTGGAATTGTTTCCACAAAATTCCTTACTAGTTAAATTATTTATTTGCTTGTGTGAATTACCCCTGGGCCCAAGACATGCCATGCGTGTTTTTCAACGTGTTGTTTATTCTAGCTGTCTGGTTTCAAATGATGATGAAAAATGTAAACACAGAATATATTTGCAACGAAACAAAGGACCCACTCAATCGTATATGCTATTCCGTCGGTTTCTAATCAACCAGGTGCGAGGCTTTAACCTTGCAATGGTTCAGTGCTGCAAGAGTGCAAAGATGGTAAATATTGGATAGTGTCCCGGTACCATTAATTTCCACATTCCCGCGATGGTTATTGTAGTGGACGATGCATCTCAACAACAGCAAAGACAACGACAGCATTGACGACAATGCTGACGATGCATCTCAGTGAAGTTACGGTGGAGACATATCTGAGGTGATGGGGTTTAACGTCGTACTTGAGAATATTTCGCTCATATGACAACGTGAATGCGTGTGTATGTGTGGCTGCTTGTACTTAAGCTGGTGTTATAGTGCTAGCCAACTGAGATACCATGCCGCAGTGAAGCATGAATACCCCACGCAGACACATTATACTGACTCCGAGCCGACCAGTCCTTGTTGTACCCATTAATGCCGAGCGCCAGGCAGGGACCAACAAGTACCATATTTTAACGTGTTTTGGTATGACGCGGCCGGGGATCGAACCCGCGACGATCCGCTATCCGGACGGACGCTCTAACCACTACCCCACGGAGACGGCCCGATGATATACTTATCTGAACAGACGGAGCTACAACATAGGTGGTAACGACAACGGCATGGCAGTACAAAAATAACGCCATCAACAACAGCAAAGACGATAGTGATGACGATCGTTCACAGTTTTAAATATGGTATTATCAATGACCATTGTTGTGTTGCAAATATATTAACATATGGATTCATCATTGATTGACAGACATACACATGCATATATGTAGATGGGATTAGGCGAATTAGCCGACACTCGAATATGACTGACTTTGAGCTCAGAGTATTCTACGACCATGGTATTCCTCACGTTTTTATGCTTTTCCTGAATAGTAAAGAGTGTTTACAAAGTCCTTAACCTAGTAAACAGTTCAACAACGGATATCGACCCGTTGAACTCATGATCAGAACAACATCATTTGAAGCATATTCCATAAAATTGAGCATGTGTGCCATTATTGGAAGATTGTGACACAAAGCGCCCACTTCAAGAAGAAAAATAGGATTACAGTTAAGAGCGTATAATCTTACTCATGCAGTAACGTAGTGATAAATTATAAATGACGGATAAGCAAGAAAGAAACGATAAACATACAGTGACAAAATGTGGCCTATCAGTTGGTGTCAAAATCAAAACTGATTCCTATAAACTTTGTAAATCATTCTGAGGAACGCCGGTGACAAAATGACACAAACTTGATGCTTCTTTTAATACCGTCTTCGATCAGCAAGTGCGTAATATCTGCATCTAAATATTCGAGATCCATAGATTCGATTGACGCTGAAAAAGCCCGTCAATCAAATGACATTGTGTCCCCTTTCCGTAAAAATATTGGCATCGTCATTGTTCGATAGCGATCAATAGTCACAAGCTCATTGAACTCTCTATTTATTATCATTTGTAATGAAAAGAGTTTTGTCGCTTTTATGACAAGCAGTACCTTTAGTAATCAACATGACGGACACTTGTCACATATGACCGTCCCTGTCCTACTCGGAACAATCTTTTCCAGTAAATAACGCATGATGCCGTCATTATATAGTTGGATCTCCGTATCCCATTCAGCTTTATCCGGTATACAAACCAACTGAACCCGAGATGGGACTTGCCCGAGTTGAGGCACAACCCATCCATGAGTGAGTGAGTGAGTTTAGTTTTACGCCGCACTCAGCAATATTCAAGCTATATGGCGGCGGTCTGTAAATAATCGAGTCTGGACCAGACAATACAGTGATCAACAGCATGAGCATCGATCTGCGCAATTGGGAACCGATGACATGTGTCAACCAAGTCAGCAAGCCTGACCACCCGATCCCGTTAGTCGCCTCTTACGACAAGCATGGGTTACTGAAGATCAATATTCTAACCCGGATCCTCACGAGTAGAACCCACCCATGAATATCTCAGACACAACAGATAAAAGCGTCTTGTGTGAGCGAAAGGGTAGACAGACATATAACGAATGTGACAAATTGGGACAAAGTTACGCCAGCGTATGAATACCTGACAGCAGAACATTCGCGACCAGGTCCGGTGACTAAAATTGCATATGCAGTGAGCTATGGCGCTACGCACCGTCAGACATCTTTCCATGAACCCTTAGTTACAACGGTAGCAGACCCGAAATTGCAAGTGAATGTTGGCATAATATCTCTTTAATTCACTTGATAAAGTAGTATCTGGCAGCTTACCAATGGGCTCACAAAATATAATCTCTTATGTTGGCCTTGAAAATATCCAACTTTCTTCTGATCACTCTCCTGTCAATAATCTTTGTGTCATTTTATAGTCAAATATGTAAGTTACTGATTTCGAGGCGAAGGCTTACAGAATAATTCAGCAGATCATTTCACTTGATCAATCTAATGGCATAAAGCTGTCATTCTTTCATGACAATTCTTTATTTGATACTAGTGAGTGAGTTTAGTTCTACGCCGCATTCAGCAATATTCCAGCTTTCTGGCATCGGTCTGTAAATAATCGAGTCTGGACCAGACAATCCACTGATCAACAGCATGAGCATCGATCAATTGGGATACGATGACATCTGTCAACCAAGTCAACGAGTCTGACCACCCGATCCCGTGTGTCGCATCTTACGACAAGCATGGGTTACTGAAGATCAATACTCTAACCCGGATCGTCACGAGTTATTTGACACTAACCCTGGAGGAACTCAATATATTGTCAAAGAAAAGTGGACATGAAAATAATGATAAAATTGACAATTAATAACTTACTTCACTCCTGCCGAGTTCCCCATATTATGAAGTCTTGGTCAGTCTGAAAAAGACCGTGATATACTTAAACAAGAACGTTTCTTCTCCATATATCATATATCTTGTAAAACCAACACATCGATGGAATAAATATAATATATCGATTACTACATATATATGTGGAGCATTTACATGGTTAGTCACGGAAATCCATACCAGTGTGTCTTTTTCTCAACCCAATGAAATAAGGAAGGTCCTGTGCTGTATTTTATCGTTATTATGTCAGTATATTGGTATTCAGTCTATTTCTTCCACATATAAAGCATGCAGCAAACGAAAGTATACCCCCATATTTGATGGTGGATATGTTATTACATGTATCATTATTATTGGATATTTATATAGCGCACATATCCACGCAGCTAGTACATGCTCAAGGCGCTGGTATTTTTCCCTCGATCACTGGATGTCAATCCCAACGGCACATCGTATCATTAATCTCAACTCCCCGGGGATCATACAACTCTTGCGGCCACTAGGCGCACCGACTTATTGCGGCTTTCTCATCCTTACGAGGTACCCATTCACAGCTGGGTGGACTGGGACACATAGTCACAGAACTTTGGCCAAGTTTACTGCACGTTAATGTACCCGCAACTAGGTGTTTGGACGTATTTATGTGACCACCATCTGGTCATTTACCAACGGATTCGTGGGTTCTTTTAAGTGCCCAGGGTTGTGTACTGTACACTAGGGGTTGTGACAACACTGAAAGAGTCTGCACACAAAGTTCACTCCAAGGTTTTTACACCCTGTCACAGGTGGGCTCGATCCCGGCACCTCATGCTCACTGGATCACTAGCCTGGCGCCTTAGCCAGCTCGCCCACCATGCGATATAAATGAAACAAACATCACCAGTAACGTTTGTGATAATACATTTGTAATGATTTGGTCAAACCCACATTTCAAATGGATACTTGTCTTGAGAGGTTAATACAGAGAATTTAATCATTTACATTCAGGACTATGCATTTGTGACACAATTTAAACGGACCAGGCTGGAGCTTGATCAAATATAGCGCATTCTTAAATGAATATTATCGGTAACGTCATTGAACACCATTGACTGGAGGAGTGAGTGAGTGAGTGAGTTTGGTTTTACACCGCTTTTAGCAATATTCCAGCAATATCACGGCGGGGGACACCAGAAATGAGCTTCTTGACTGGAGGAAGACAGTCTGACTTAGATATATTTTAGCATGGTGACAATAAACTACACAAGTATTTTCAAATGCAGTTTAGATTACTATAAAGAATGATGAATAATAGATGAATATATATAAACAATCCTTGCTATTATGAATGGGAATTAGTAGGAAACAGTTGATGAAGTCAGCATCGCTGTACGCTACGAGATAACTATATGCTGCCCATGGTGACAGCTGCTTGCTAAGATTTACAAAGTTTATACGATAAAATAGGATAAATGATATATATAAGTCGGTTACCTACCTGTTGTTTAGGTGTATCTTGTGCTGGTATCTCACTATATAGTTGAACGTTGGAATTCCCTGTTCAGTGCTTCCTCAAGGATGCTCCCGTTTCCAGTTACATTATCTTGCTATCAACCCGTTAACCAACAACATCTGTTATTGTCCGAATGTCGGTTAAAGCATAACGGAATCAATATGTCCAAACAATTCAACTTAAGGACAGTGAATGTCACGTGAGCGTTGTCCGAGATGTCCTGAAGTTCTCCACGCGTGTTGGTCTTGCACTCGGGCGCAGTCGCCCTCGCCGTGTGTAGACGCTGTATGTGAGCTGACGTTGCTGATGCCGACAGGACATACTAAAATCGATAGATGTTAATCCTTTTACATTGATGAGTTTGTTGAACATGTGATCGATACAGCAGAAACACGCCTCAGATCTGGAGATCGCGTAACACACGAATAATATGTCACATTGCATTGTGTGACATACGGGTCAATAATAGTTGATACAATCTGTCAAGATATACATGAATGGTCATGTTATAACGTACTTTACATCATTTTAACCACTGTTGATTGCTCACTGTGATCTATGAGAGCTCCTCAGATCGTGTGACTGATGTTGTTCATGTTGTAATGTGTGTGTAATGGATATATGTATTTATTGTAATTCCAGCGTCCATAACGCAAGACAAATTCTTTATTATTATTATTATTATTATTTACATTGTGTGAAATACAAATGTTCAGAATGTTGACTGTTTTATGGGAAACATTCAAACTCTTTCCCGGAGTTGAGACCATATGTTACTTATATTGTGTTGTCGTTTGTTTCTTTATTTCTTGTTAAACGCCTCGAATTACAGCGATATGTAAATAGTCTGGATCAGACAATCCAGTGACTGACGTTATGAACATCGATCTACGAAAATGGGCCGCTATTACAGTCATCACTCAAGTCATCAATCATGTCCCCAGAGGGGGGTGGGGATGAGGGGGGTGGTAATCTAGTGGTTAAAGAGGTCACTCGTCACGCCATAGACCCAGGTTCGATTCTCTACATGGGTACAATGTGTGAAGCCCATTTGTGGTGTCTCCCGCCACGATATTGCTTGAACATCGCTAAAAGTGGCGTAAAACCATACTCACTCACTCCTGTCAGCCGAGACCCGTGAAGACCCGGGTTAGAATATTGATCTTCAGTAACCCATGCTTGTCGTAAGAGGCGACTAACGGGATCGGGTGGTCAGGCTTGCTGACTTGGTTGACTCGGTTCCCAATTGCGCAGATCGATGCTCATGCTGTTGATCACTGGATTGTCTGGTCCAGACTCGATTATTTACAGACCGCCGCCATATAGCTGGAATATTGCTGAGTGCGGCGTTAAAACTAAACTCACTCACTCACCTGCCAGCCGATCCCGTTAGTCGTCTCTTATGACAAGCATGAATTCCTGAAGACCAATGCTAGCCCGGATCTTTACAGGGCTATTGATACTGTGTTTCCAAAAAGATATGATACAATTCAGCTTTGACAACATCAACACCGACTCTGTCAATAGTTAAACTCTATCCAAATGCTCAATGCGTTCGGTATTACCTTCTCGAGAGTAGAACTATCAGAGCCAGATCCAACATGATCCCCCGCTTGTCTCGAATTAAGGCTAATACGGCCTCCTGTATTTTGGGAACTCTCTGTAATGCTGCCTGGCCCTTGCTACACTCTCATGTAACTGCATATTTAGACCCCGAATAAAGTGTTGTGGACCCACTGATGGACATAGATTAGAAGAGATAAACTCCCAACCAGTACCATGCCGGGATGCATGGTCTTATGCTGCTTTTAGCAATATTCCGGCAATGCCACGACGGGGGACACCAGAAATGGGCTTCACGCATTGTACCCATGTGAGGAATCGAATCCGGTCTTCAGCGTGACGAGGGAAAGCTATAACCACTAGGTTACCCCACCGCCAAGTGTTAGAGAGCTAGATATGATTGCAAACCGGAGAGAGCTGGGCAGTGTGAAACTGAGAAGTCATAACTATAGCTTAGAGTACAGTACCTGAATAAACTTCTGTAGACCAACAGAGGGACTTCAACTGAAGAAATAAGCGTGAGAAAGACAACGTCTACAGAGAATACATGTCTACAGAGATGGCGAAGTGAACCAGATCAGGCCTGCCAGGTGATCGCTTGTCATTTGAATTCAATGCTCATAAAAGTAAGGGGCGGTGGGGTAGCCTAGTGGTTAAAGCGTTAGCTCGTCACGCCGAAGACCCGGGTTCGAATCCCCACATGGGTACAGTGAAGTGTCAGGTGTCCCCGCCTGATGTTCTGGAATATTGCTAAAAGCGGCGTAAAACCAAACTTAGTCAGTCAGTCAGTCATGAAATTAATCACCACATGAATAAGGTTTACTCCATAAAACAAAAAGACAAAACCGTTCCCATAATCAAAAGAAATCTTTACTGAAAGCAGATTACATTGTAATATTTCAGAGAGTCGTTCAAGCCATTAGGCTTCGGAGCCTTTGCAGTTGTTCTTGTAGATATCACCGTACACACGGGGAACTAACTGAGAACCCTTATTACATATTTCCATATACAATTTAGCACTGGTTTTTGGTTTGGTTTGTTGTTTTACACCGCAATATTCCAGCTATATCGTGGCAGTCTGTAAATAATCGAGTCTAGACGAGACGATCCAGTGATCAACAGCATGAACATCGATCTGCACAACTGGGACACGGTGACATGTGTCAACCAAGTCAGCGAGCCTGACCACCCGATCCCGTTAGTCGCCTCTTACGACAAGTATGGGTTACTGAAAACCAATTCTAACCCGGGTCTTCACAGGTTTTAGCAATGTTTTTCGAAGTAAAATGTTCGTTTTAAATTACGGAAAAGAAACCGATATGTCAGTATCTCTTACCATATATCGATAATGTATCAAAATCCATTGATCGTAAGAGATATGTCAGCATCCATTGACGTAAACAGATTGCAGTACCAATTGCAATCCTCTGAAACCATGCATCCATAATCCGGATGAGGATAAAAGGTCCTTGGAACCAATTATCAGGCGTCTCTTTAACATTTATCAATCTCAGGCAATGTTTCCGAAATATTTATTATTAAAGATCGCAATGCGTGAATTGAGAAGAGTGTTGTGTGAATATATTTCTGTTTGTTTTGTGCGTGTGCGCGCGCGCGCGCGTGCGTGTGTGTGTGTGTGTGTGTGTGTGTGTGTGTGTGTGCCTGTGTGTGTGCCTGTGTGTGTGCCTGTGTCAGTTTGTATATAAAAAAAGAAAAAGTATGTATTACAGTCTGTCAGCAGACACAATCAATGTGCAAAGTAATTTAAATTGTCGGCATTTCATAAACAATTTGTAGTTCAGTAATCTGTCATTGAGTCAACATCATTGCTGGAATGAAGATTAAAGCTCGTTGTCAACACATGTGCGATGTGGCTGAATTTAGTCACTTTTAGCAATATTCCAGCAATATCACGGCGGGGGACACCAGAAACGTGCTTCACACATTGAACCCACTTGGAAAATCGAACCCGGATCTTCGGCGTGACGAGCCAACGCTTTAAACACTAGGCTACCCCACCGCCACTCATGTGCGTTGTGAGATAGACTTTTTCTCGTCCTACCATCATCAGTCTACTAATATGTATCTTTAAAGACTTTTGAACTTCTAAATTTAGTTCAGGTTACTCCGTTAATCCGGACGATATCACGAGATCGGAATAACGGCTTTCCGTATTACAAAGGTTGAGTAGCCTGATCAGCATTAAACATGGCTACAGTTTGAATCCTAAACTCCCCAAAAGATCAATCAGCTTCACACTCACAATACCCACTAAATATTTGTCACAACAACAATGTTGTAATGTACAATTGATTGATGTGTGAATAAGTTCAGCGGAACGTGAAAGAAAGCTGGGACCATTTCTACGACACCATTTCAGTTGTGTGCATTTTCAGTGAAAGGCTGATCGGAATTGACTGGTTAAACCTTATCAACACATGATTCATGAATGACGCCCTTTGGTTCACTTCGATGTAGAGTAGCTGCAACTCTCTCACGGTATGTATCAGATTGACGTCATCAACAAATCGACGGGCAACGATCTCCGCCTAGATTCACAGAGGAGGCCTTAAGTGCAAGAGGGGAAAAGAAAAGACTATATTTTCATCTGTGTTTCAGCTCGTGAATAAATGATGTTTCCCATTAAGACTGATAAAACAAACTGTAGTATTGTTGGAACGCCATGGCAATTGATACACAGAAAGAGAGCATCTTTGATCCTCACGCACATTGTCCTTCGATTGAAGCCAGTAATGGCGCTAACTCTAACTCGGGTTAGATTTGGTCTTCAGTGAGTGAGTGAGTCTAGTTTTATGCCACTTTTAGCAATATTCCATCACTATCACGGCGGGGGACACCATAAATGGGCTTCACACATGGTACCATGTATGGAATCGAACCCGGATCTTCGGTGTGACGAGCGAACGCTTGAACCATTAGGCTACCCCATCGCCCCTGGTCTTCAGTAACCCATGCATGTCGTAAGAGGCGACTAACGGGATCTCGGTTGACACATGTCATCGTATCCCAATTGCGTAGGTGGATGCTCGTGCTGTTGATTACTGGATTGTCTGCTCCAGATTCCATTATACAGCTGAAATATTGCGGCGTGTGCGGCGTAAAACTAAACTCACTCACTCACACATTGATGACTGCGTCAGCCATGACACAGTTCAGTCTGTTAGAGCTGCTAACTTTCTCTCAGTGTAACCGGGTGGCCATGTTCTTACATTATGTGTATACTCTGCAGGAAATTACTCAGTATCACTCACAGTTGTACATTACACAATAACATGATACAATGTTAGGACACGTATATGAGGTGAGGTGAGGTGAAAATGGGTTTTACGTCGTGCTTGAGAATATTTCGCTCATATGACGACGTGCATGCGTGTGTATGTGTATGTGCGGCTGTTTGTACCAGCCCAGACTGAAGCTGGTTTTATAGTGCTAGCCAACTGAGATACCATGCCGCAGTGAAGCATGAATACCCCACTCAGACACATTATACTGACTCCGAGCCGACCAGTCCTTGTTGTACCCATTAATGCCGAGCGCCAGGCAGGGACCAACAAGTACCATATTTGAACGTCTTTTGGTATGACGCGGTCGGGGATCGAACCCGCGACCTTCCGCTCTCCGGGCGGACGCTCTAACCACTACACCACGGAGGCGGTCTGGACACGTAAATGAATGAAATCACGTTGATTTTGCGCATTCATGATTTAATACATGCAGT